AGTAGGATAAATAATGCTTAGAACCCTGGAAGAAAAAAGTAAATTTTGTGTTTTGGTTTTTGTAGCCCTCCCAGGCCCAATACTTCAAAGCATCTTACCTCTGCTCAATATATATTACTTGGAGAGGATTGAGGAAACTGCCCTCAAGAAAGGTGAGTGCCTTTCTCTCTCTTTCTCAGTCAGTGATTATAAGCAAGGCATCACAATGTTCTTCAGGTAAATATTACACCTGATATCTACGTAAAACTTCATATTTTTCAAAAAGTACCCTGACACCTACTTTCTTACCTGATTCCTCAGTATCCTGTAAAATACAAAACAAATATGTGATTCCCAGTATACTAATAATAATGTGATCACAGTCACATCACAGTTAGTAGCAAAGACAGACTAGAACCCAAATCTTCTGAATCTTTGTTTTTCTGTTTTACCAAGTTGCCTCCCAAACCCCCTATTGGACACATCTGTTAAGAACTAACATTTATCTAATTAACCCTGATGTGCCAAGCACTATCCTAGGCACTTTACCTGTAGAAACTTATTTAATCTTTTCAACAATTCTGTGAAATAGCTATTATTAACTACATTTTATAGATAAGGACACTAAGGCACAGAAAAATTAAGTGACTTGCCCAAAGTCACACAGCTACAGTATAGTTTACTGATATTTAAACCCAGGCAGTCTGTCTTTAGAACCAGTGCTTTTTACCACTTTGCTATATTGCTCTTGTGAACCCAGAGTAGGACATTAAAAGGCTGATATACTTCACTCATGGTAGTCAAGGAGCAGCCAAGTAAATGTGATATTTCTCCCTATAGGCCTCTCCACTCAGGCTATCTGGCGCCGACTATGGGATGAGCTGATGAAGACAAGGCCTTCCGGTCTAGAAGTAAGTTAAGGCACCAGGTAGAACTCTGACCTGACTTTGCAGAGTGAAAGCAGGAATAGCACACAGACCTAAGCTGGGTACGGGCAAAGTGCAGGGATGAGGACAGAGTGAATTTGGGAGGAGGGCTCTGATGGCTTATCATAAGAAACTTGACCATTTGGCATTTGTCACTGACTTACTTGCTCACCATGTTTAAAGGTGACACAAAACAGGGAAAGGTAGTGATCACAATGATGGCAGAACACGGATTCATAGAGGTCTTGACAGGGCTGGAGCAATGGTCAAACTTAACAAGATGAAATTTAACAGGATAATCCAACTCTTCATTTGAGTCTAAAAAATTCCAATTGCATGACCTCATGGTAAGGGGTGGAGGGGTCTGGCTTAGCAGCAGCTTGTATTAAAAAAATTAAGGGGTTTAGTCAACAATGTGCTAAAGCCAAAGCCACTCATCTTAAGACTGTACCCTGAGCTGTGTGAACTAATGTAACTATAATATAGGCCGAAGGACAAGGGGGATGATAGACCTGCCTGGCTCTGCAGTGGTCAGGCTACTCCTGGAGTATGGAGAAAGAAGTCAAAGCCACATCATGTGAGTCACATTTGGAAGACTGGAGATGTTTTTCCTGAAAAAAAAAGAGAAGACTCTGAGGAACATGAACTGTTTTGAAATATTTGAATGGTTGACTCATGAAAGAGGGATTAATAGACTTGTTCTGTGTGGAAGCTAAAGCTAAAGGAAGATAAATTTTTGCTAAACTGAATGTAGAACTTTTAAACTCTGAGCTTATTGGTGATGAAACAAGCTAATTCCAGAGGTAATAAGCTTCCCATCTCTAAGTGTTCAAATAGATCCTGGATAACTACTTGACACAAGTGTATTGCAGAGGAAATTCAGCATGGTAAGAGGTTGAACAAGATGAGTTTTAGGGCTCCTTTTAACCCTGAGATTCTATTCATTGGTTCAAATATAACTCACTGGAGCTCTCATTTAAGCAGAACTTTTGCCGCTCAATAATTAGGTGACAGGACAGATTGAGTTCAGTAAGCATTTACTAAAACTTACCACATACCAGGTCTTATGCTAGATATTGGAAGTACAGACACAATTCCTGATCTTGAGGAACTATCAGTTTAGTGGGGAAATACATCATGTATGGTAGGGTAAGTGGTGTAATAGAGAGTAGCAAGGAGGCTGAGGGAAAAGTGAGCAAGAAAATATTTCCTAGAAAGGAGTATTTGAACTGGGATTTATATGGTGAATGAGGGCAAATGACAAGAACATAAGCTCTTATCAGGAATTGGAGATTGCATTTCTGGGATGCACTGGGTTCGGTAACATTCAGCTCTGTATCCTTCAGCTTTTTTACTTCCAGATCTGGACACAACTCCTGGAGTTCAGTGTGATGACACTAAGGCCCAACAAAATCCTCAGGCACTATGTATAGGAGTTAGGCCTTATTAGGAAGAGAACTGAACACAAGAATATTAGAAACAGCAATGGCTTCCGGCAACCTTTCAAGAAACATAAGATTCTCTCTGTCCCAGTGTTTCCCAAGCATTATGGTTGACTAGTTGGTGATGGAGATTGTCATATCTTTCTCTTGGGGAAGGCCTTTTTCCCAACATTAACTTGAGTTTCCTGAAAAAGAATGTCTATTTGTTATCTTGTTTTCTTGTCTCAGAGCTTTTCAGAAATTTAGGAAACCCCAGGCTTGGTGACCTAACAGTCACCTAGACAGAGGTCCTGACTTGGAGCATTCATTTATTCCAGAGGGTGTCTTCTTCTGCTTCCCAGTTTTGCCTGACAGTAACTTTCACTTCATTCATGATTCAAAAACACTTACTGAATGCCTGCTCAGTTCCAGGCACTACGCTAGGTTCTAGGGATACAATAGTGTACAAGTTAGGCATAGCCCCTGACTGCTTATAAAGCAATAGTATTTCTAACTGTATAGTACCAGTGTGTGTGTCTGTTAAGAGATCTGTAGCCTGACTGGCATGGCTCAGGGGTTGAGCATCAACCTATGATCCAGGAGATCACAGTTCAGTTCCCGGTCAGGGCACATGCCTGGGTTGCAGGCTCAGTCCCTAGAAGGGGGGTGTGCAGGAGGCAGCCGATCAGTGACTCTCATCATTGATGTTTCTATCTCTCCCTTCTCCCTTCCTCTCTCTGAAATCAATAAAAATATTTTTTAAAAAGAGAGAGATCTGTTGACTACTATAGATATTCTGGAGATAAAACAATATGGAAATGAAGGCTTATTCAATAAATGGTTCTCTAGTAATTGGTTAACCATTTGGAAAGTAAAGTTAGAGTCTCACTTTACAATACACTAAAATAATTTCTATCTGGATTATAGATTAAATTGTAAAAAGTAAAAACACTAAACAACTAAAAAAATAATAAAGGTTACTGGTTATCTAATTTCGGAATGGAGAGTGCTAATTATTAAATGGGCAGGACCAAATAAAATATGGACATATTTAACCATATAAAAATGCCAAAACTATGAATACAATTTAAAAGGTACATAAACTGGGAAAGAATGGTTGCAATGACATTTGCAAAACAAAGGGATACAGAGAATAAGACAAAGGCCCCAGTGGAATAAAATAAGTAAAGATTTGGATACGTCGCAAAATATATAAAAATCTTCAATCTCAATAATAAAAAATGGGAAAGTAAAATTGTATCTCTTATATTGTAAAGTCTTGTTTTGATTTGGTTTTGTTTTAAAAGGTAATTCCAGGGGTGGGTAAAATTTGTATTTTAATATGCTATTGGTGGGAGCAGAACTGTTAAAACTTTCTTGGTGGGCAATCTGGTGATAATTGTCAAGAATCTTTAAAATATTCAAATTATTTGACTAGAAATTCTACTTAGAATTTATAGTATATAAAAATTGAGATACTCATGAAAATTTATTTCTAGATGTTCATTACAGCAAAGTTTAATATCAAAAAGCTAGAAACAATTTAAATACTCAATAATACAGGAATTATTAAATATAGTACATCCATATTTTCAAAATATTCTAAAAGTACTTAAATTCATGGTGGTAAAAATATTTAATGAAATGGTGCTATAATGTTAAAAAAAAACACCACAGCCTTTGAAACTTCTGAATTGTCTCAATGTTGTAAAAACAAGCATCTAAATCTATTCACATATAAATATATGTACACTCCAAAGAGTTGGTTTACACATGATTTTTTATTTGCTTCTTTATAATTCTACAAACAGTATTTCTATTATCAGAAAAGCAATAGTAGACCATAGTTTATAAACATTCCCTGGCTGTAATAGTAGAAGAAAATATTTCGCCCTCCCTAGCTTGTACACACATTCTTC